GCTGACACCTAATGGTGGATGAAGACTATGACAGCTATGACTTTAATATAAGACTTAGTAAAACCTGGGAAAAGCTAATCTGTGTTTGTGACTTTCAAAGTTTTAACAACAAGGAACAGCTGTGACAAAAAAAGACAATAATCTGGGCTGTAGACAAACAGAAAAATATAAATTTCAGAGGAAAAAAACTTTTTTGAACTATTTGGATTACAAATATCTATTTAATTGGGACTCTAAAGCTATTTGCATAGAAAAGAAAGAAAAACTCAAATTCTTGGCCATCATGGATCATAGACATGTAGAAAGAACATATCAAGAAAACATAAATATTTCACAGGAGGAAATATTTGGTATACTGCAACTAATTCAAACAATAATGATTTTAAACCACAAAGAAATCCAAAATAACTTTGAAAATATAAATCAACTATTTCTAAGTTAACTCTACAACAAAAATAATTCCCAGAAAACAACAGAGAAGGAGCAGATAAAAGGATATAGAATTGAGAATAGAGACTTAAAGATGGAACTTAACAAAACGAGGAAACATGATTTAATTCTAGTGGAAAAAATTCACAAGAATTGGAAAAAACAACTTATCCCTTAAGACTACAAAATAAATCTGAGGACAAGAAAACAGATTGGATAAAATGACTGTAGAGATGTCAGGAACATCGGAGAGAAAGGAAATGATAAGAGAAGCGGAGAGAAAGAAAAAGAAAGATTTTCAAGAAACGTGGAAAGGCAGAAGCCCCGTACAAAGACACTTCACCTGATTTACTTTTTATATCTACAGCAACATTTACGAACATACGGAAAAACTTTTTGATTCAGCAAAGTACATCGATTAAGAAAGATACTGGGCAAAGGAAAAGGACTAAAGTGGAAACCAAGAAAATAGGTGATGGGACTTACCAGAGAGAATACTTAAAAAAAGAAATATTTGTTTGAATATGGTTAAAGAAATAGAAAAGGTTTGGAATATATATGTCATTCTAAGAGGGATGAATTCCCTAAATAATATAGTATGTTTTTTCCCCTTTTTTGTTCTCTTTCTTGATATGAGTAATATAAAAAAGTTGAAATGACTTAGATAAAGGAAATGTTTTAGATACTTAAATGTGATTGAATTTAAGAAAATTATAATGGATACAAAAATGTTTTGAATAAGAGTTAAAGGACTAGATGACTAGATGTATTAAATGGAATGTTTAAATATTAAACATATTTTTAATTATGGTTAAAAAGAATAAGAAATTTAGGAAATAAATATATATTAGCTTAGGAGGGATATATATTTTAAGTAGTATGTTATTTTTTATGTTTCTTTACTCTTGCTCTCCTTTTTTTTCATTGTTCTATCTATTCCTTAAGAAATATAAAAGTGTGAAATGGTTCATATGGAAAAATAGAGTTAAATTTTTAAATGTAATTAATTTCTGAGAAAATCTTAACCAGTGAGAATACCTAGAATTTGGTGGGAGAAACAAATTAAAATAAGGACTGTAACAGGATCTATGATAAGGCAACCAGAATGATTGGATAGAAAAGCAATATTATATTGATGTGACTATTATTTTCAGGAATATTGGGGAAAATTATATATTTGTTATCTATCAAAACAATAAGAATTGTATTAACTCAATATTTGCAAAAGAGGATATTTTGGGAAAAGAGGAAATCAACTAAAACCATTATGTGGATTATGGATTATAGAAATCGTTAATGATTGTTTTACAAATGTAACCCAGACAACACACTGTCCACCAATTATTGTGATTTATGTTTTAAAAAAAATCAATAAAATATATTACAAAAAAAGGGATATTGTGATGTTTAAACTAGAGAAAGTTCACCTGTGCTTTTCCTTTAAGCCAGCTCTAACATGACAGATATCATCACAACTCTATTGCAAGACATCCAGATAACCTGTTTTTGCTTAGATTATAGTAAAGTACTGTACACCGATACACAGTGTACTTTAAATATCACACTTTCCTTGCCTAGGAACTTATCTACACCCGGATATAAATACACATATCTATAAGATAGGAGAGCACACCAGGACCTAAGTAAACTGTGAAATGAACAAAATTTAGTTTGTGGGGCTCACCATTTATTAGTTACCGTAACTCTTACCAAGCCTCAGGAAAAAGGCGGCTGTCTCTTTTGGCAGAGGACCAATTGTTAAAAGCATAATAGTATAACCACGATCATTTGCTCTCTGCAGCCAGATTGGCTTTGGTTCTATCACCTCCTTTGTGGATAGATCTGATAAGTTGTGAAATCAAAAGAATTAACATTTCATCACCTGTTTTCACTTGAAGGTCTGGGTTGGATGGCTAATCTTTATTTTTTCTTTCTGTCCCATCCTGCTCCTTGCCAACAGAGGTTTGTATCTTGCCTAATGAGGTGTGTTGTCAGTGCCAATGAACCACAGTACCCTTTTTATGAACTGCTGACTGAACAGCATCTTTCTGGCCTTCAGGCCATTTTGCAAAGAGCCATATGGTCCTCTTGAACACTTTAATTTTAATAAAAAGCAAATTATAAACCAGGGCTGTGATGACATTTTCCGCAAATGTCGTCTTAATTCAAACTTATTTATTCCTTACAACTATAGTACTTTCACTAAATCTCACACCACTCCATTTTTTCCTAATATCTAGTCAAACTTATTTCTTCTTGAATGTATGTTGAAATAAGAGTGCTTGGTTTAGCATTAGTGGATATATCTCTTGTTCTTTTCCTGTTATGCCCATGAAGGGCCAAAGTTTTATTTGTGCTGAACACATTTACTCCTATTTTCCCCCACAATAACGCTGTGAGATGAGTGGGCTTAAGAGTGAGTGATTGGTGCGAAGTCACCCAATTGGCTTTCATATTAAGGTGGGACTAGAACTCACAGGCTCCTGATTTCTAGCCTGGTGCCTTAACCACTACATCAAACTTGCTCATTTAACATCACATTTTGATTTATTTGTTATCTATTGGTCTATTTCAGCCATCTCATGGCATAGTGGTTAAGTTGCAATTTAGGAGTGGTCAGATCCAGCCATGGAAGTTTACTCATTGACTTTGGGACAGCTACTTTTTCTCAACTCAACTTACTTCAGACAGTTGTGTCGAAAAATAGGAGGGAACACAATGAATACAACCTTGAGCTCCTGAATAAAAGACAAGCTATAAATAAATTCTGTTGAGTAATTTTAGTTTTGGATTCAAGAGCCTTATTCTCACCTTAGATGTATACAAACTCAAGGTAATACTTCTTCCCCTTCATTCTGTGCTTCATTCTGTACACACCAGTATGCAGTTTGCTGCCTTTAAAAAAAGCCACATCCAATACTCATGGTATCATAGTTCTACATTTAAATTTTCCTTAATCAAAGCAGAAATGAAATTGTTTATGTAAGCTTGATTTTATCTTGTTTTGGAGTAAGCACCATTGGTTTTAAAAAAGGATATGTATCCATTTAAAATAAAAAAAAATATTAACACGACCAATGCCCATTCTTTATATATTTTTTAAAATATGCTGTAACAAATGGCCTCAGCTCGTTAGGCCCATGCCAGTCAAAATCCTGAAGCTGAGCTTACTCTTCCTCTGTCCAGATGTCTTATCACTTTAGTGGCACTTGTGGTGTCGGCTCTCTCGCTAAGGTGGCCTCCGTGAGTGGATTCTGAATAATGAATGGGATCTTAGGCAGCAGTTATCCACTTGCGCAAGACAGGATACCACGCACTCTTGCTACTATGGCTGAAGTCTCCATTTGTCAATCTCTGGTATCGGAAGTCTCCCTCCAGGCAGAATTCTTGTCTCAATCCCTGGAAGAACAATGAGTCAAGAATCGCCATTGACGGTAACAGGCGTTACTGCTTCCTATTTTCGTGTAAGGGAAGAGCTTAAACCTCAGCAAAAACGGCTGCCTCCGCAAAGACCAACAGGGACGAATACTGCGCGCTGTTCGCCGAAAAAAAAAAGACTGCTCCAAGTGCCAGACCAACAAATTAGATCTCCCGATCACTGCAGAACGTCGTTATCTCCCCACTGGAAAAAAACAACAACAACCAAGCGAACAAAGGAGCTTTCCTCGCTTTCTTGACAGAGATTATTAAACGAAGGCATTATTTTAACGCAGCCCCCTGTGGCAAAGGCAGAAAGCCTAACGTTAAATGCCACCAGGACGCTTCGCCCGGGCGTATCCATTCTCCCCGCAACCCTGCAGCGATTCTGCCTCTGCAAGGGGAATTCGAACCGCGCTTATCCCACGGGATCGGGAGTCTCCCGAGAAAACAAGAAAACGCGCCGCAAACCACGATCTATGGAGAACCCCTATTGCCTCATTTCCAAATGGTGGAGCCTTCCCCGCTTCATCCGACCCGCCCCGGCTTTGCAAGCCCGCGTTTGCTCTGTCTCGTCCTGACATGCTTATGGTCAACTCGCTTTGTTTTCTTTTCTAAAGCCCTTCATTCCATTTTTTTTCCCAGTTACCCGACGCTTGGGTTAAAACAAAAAGAACAGGCCTTCCACGTATCTCTCTCTTCCCCTCCCCACCCCGGACTAATACGACTCTCAAATTCTGTCCTTACGCTACTTCCTCAAAATTTTTGTGTGTGTGTGTGTTTTTTTTTAAATGACAACAACTAAGTACGGTCGCGACGAAGAGAGCCGTTGGCGACTGCAAACAAAGAGAGCCGAGAGCTGTACACGGGTCGGGTGTCATGTTACTCAAGGCGCTGTTTAAAACATTCGATCCCCGCCACCGCCTTCCCATTCCCCGCCTCCAAACACAGCCGTGACGGACAAGCTCTGCTACCCAATGGCGAGGACAGAGGGAGTTTTGGCGCCTCGCCACCCTGGGCTCTTCGTCCAATAGAGAATGGGACTAGGCGGGACAACGCCCTGGGTAGAATGGAGGCTCTACCAATGGCAGGAGTGTTATTACAGAAAAATAGTATTATGCTAATCGATGTTTTGCTCGAACTCACTCGGTGAGAGCTTTAAAAAGCCAAGCAGCCCCGGGCAGGCGGTTAGAAGCAGAGTGAGGTGCGGCGGGTTAGCGAGAGGGAGTTTGGGGGTGCAACGGGTGGTTCTTTGGGCTAAAGGGCGGCGAAATCCTTGCCCACCACTTCGACTCTGATTTGGATTTGTAAAGACGCTTGGAGCCGCTCCGCTTCCCTTCTTCGCCACCGCCACCTCCGGGTGAAGGAACCTGCCCGCTCCCTATCCACCATGTCCAACGTGCACCTCTCTAGCGCCTCGGCTTTGGAGCGCCTGGCGGCTCGCCGGACATTCCCCTTGCACGCTCGCACCGGGGTGTGCAGGAACCTGTTTGGTCCCGTGGATCACGACGAGCTCAACCGGGAGCTGAAGAGCAAACTGCGGGAGATCTGCGAGGAGGGCCAGAGGCGCTGGGGCTACGACTTCCAAACCGAGACGCCGCTGGCCGGTTTGGGGAGCCTGCAGTGGGAAGAGGTAGACGGAGAATCCGTGCCCGCTTTCTACAGGGAAACCCTACAGGTTGGGAGGTGCCGCTTCCCGGCGCTGATGGTCAGATCGACGCCTCCGCCTGGAGACGAGGAGGCGTCTCTTGAGCTCGATCCCCGAGACCCTCACCAAGAGCTGGGGCTTTCTTCCACCCCCTCCCCGCTTAGCCCGCAGGACAACACGGCCGCCTTGGAAGGCTCGACGTCGGCAGGCGAGGAGCGCCTCAGCCAGGAGGACAAGGCCGACCAGCGCCACAGCTACTCAGGGATTATAATCAAGCCTGTCCCGTGTGTCGCTGCGGCTCTTAAAAGAGCATCGTCAACCAGCGTAACTCACATCACAGGTAAGGCAGAACGACCGTCGGGCTGCGTTGCACTTGCGTCGGCAGAGATATTGCATCAGTCCTAGCCGCCCGCATTAAAATATTTCACTCGCGGCCCCCAACCTCCCAGTTTATGGGAAGCTAATCTCCTCCGTGGTTCCTTCACACACACACACATGCACACACACACACCCATGATGCGTGCTCTGGAGAGTGCCTAGACGTCGCCCCGAGGCGCTGGCTCTGTTTAAGATTCCGCACAGGTCCCTGGGGCTGGGCTGGGCTGGAAAATGCTTACGCAGCACATCGCGCTCTGCAGGCTAGTCCTTCTCGGCTGCCTCCTTTGCGACGTAAACAAACCCTAGTAGCTGCACCGCTCTTCGTTGGCGGTCAGGGGGAGCCAAGAGCCCGGGCTGGTCGACGGCCATGCAAAGAGCCCGGCAGGGCGGGGTCCCCCTTGTACGCGAAGCGATTGTTTTTCGACGGGTCCTGCTTTCTAATGGGTGTGTCTCTTTGAAACGAAAAGTTTGGCTGCCGCGCTCCCCTCCCCTCCCCCCCCACCCAAACCCGACTAATAATGTCTTCCCTTTCTTCGGGTCTTAACGATCTTTAGATTTCTTCGCAAAGCGGAAAAGAGTCGTAGACAGAGTGGCCGGCGATCGTAGCAGCCCGTTAGCAACTTCGGTCGCAGCGGTGCCTAACGAGCAGACACCCCGGAAAAGGCTCCGATGAACGAGGTGAGAGCCGCGTGCTGGCGCTTTAAGGTTCCTCTTCTCTCTCTCTCCCCCTCCCCCCCCGTCCTGGACCGTTCTCAAGGTCGGCCTCTCTCGGCTCCTTTTTCCCCCAGTGGAGGGGAACGGTTCCGTTTCAGCTGGATTAGTACAAAACTCGGAGGATGGTGAGAGAGAGAAGAGAGCAGCGAAGGACAACAACTCGTTTAGCACAAGAGCTTCGGGATTGTGGACCCATCTGTTAACTTGGATGGCCGACCGGAGGGAAGAAGCCCTTGCAGAATAGGAAGAGAATGGAAATAATCCTGCCTTTAAAAAAAACCTGCTGGAGTAGACTTAATAGGAGAAGAAGACTTTATAATATATATATATATATATATATATATATATATATATATATATATATATATATATATATATATATATATATATATATATATATATATATATATATATATATATATATATATATATATATATATATATATATATATATATATTTTAAGATATATGCTTCCCCTCCTATCTGAAGTGTAGATCTGGGCTGACATTTGGTGAAAAAAGTCTACAAAAAGGAAGGCTGGTTTCTTTTCTCCCAAGACTCCACAGCTGTGTTGACTCATTTGTGGATTTTCTGAGCAAAAAAAAGTGGCCCAGCTTTTGTGCTAGCCTCTTCCCCCTGAGCCTGCAGTGTCTGGGACAGTTTTCTGCACATGCTTGACTGGTGGTGATCTTTCTCTTTCAGATTTTGCACTATATAACACCGAAGTGATTGTTTCCTTGGAAACACCAAGAGCTTGAGAGGCCCTTCCTCTCCCGCGTGTCAAAGGGGGCTGGCGAGTGAGACTAGACCAGCATAAGGAAGAAGAGTCGCCTGTTTGTTTTTTTCGCTCCTCCTCTTCATAACTCGTGCCCCGAAGGAACTGCTTGAACCTCCATGTAGCAAAAGTGGCTGACTACCAGTCGCCTGACGGAGCAGTGTTAATTTACAACTGTGCAATGTATTATGTTTTTATATATATATATATATATATATAAAATGTATTATACCTAATGTGAGTACACTGGCCAGAAGTGTAAAAGCTTTAAAGTCACCTATATAAAATGTTTAATCTCTGCTGAATTCTCAGTGCAAAAAAAAAAAAAAAACCCCCACAAAAAAACAAAAGTATAATTTGTAAAAAAAAAAAGTGCAAACAACTTAAAGAGTTATACTAACTTATATTTTCTATTTATGTCAAAAGGTGGATAACTTTGACACCCAGTAGTGAGTTTTTGTGTTTTCCCCCATTTGGTTAAGCCAAAGGGCACTATATATTTGCTTTTGTTGTTATTTACAAAAATGTAAATTTATTTTTATAGTGGGATTTTGCATTCACAAAATGTAGCTATGAATCAAAATTACATTTAGTTATACTTGAAAGAAATCTGATAACGTTCCTGAGCTGGTCTGTACCACTGCCATCCCAAACCTATGCTACAATGTTAAAATAAAAAAGAATCAAGTGTCTCTTAACTGTATTTCTTGCTTTTACTTTCACCTTTAAGCAGAATATTGTACAAATGCATATGCACCCTTGTTTTGCAGCTAATGTGTAGTAGTCCTTCAGTTAGTTACCTGCCACAATTGGGGCAGGTAACTTGGTTGTGTAAAGCAGTTGCTAAGTGAAATTGTGCTTCAGCTTTTCTTTTCTTTACAGACCTGTGAAGGTGGTAAATGCAGGGATTGATTGTAAAGTTACTTTTGCATCACTGTCATAACTGTAACCAGTTACTAAACAAAACAGTCACTAAATGAAGCCTACCTTTAAGATACTTGTTTCTTAAATTAACCTTTCCCTATGTATATTCTTTGAAAAGTAGTGGTCTTCAATTACATATTCTATGAGATGTCTATCTAGAAATCTAGTTATGTTTCCCCCTTCGTGGGATGGGGTCTGGCGAGAAATTTGTGTTCAATGTATATAGCCCTTGAGCAGAAAATTTCTGACAGTAATACTGGATTCCATGGAAATGACTTTCACAACTAGACATAGTCATAATAAATGAATATTGAACGACTTAAATTTGGGCATGCAGCTGTACCACATAACATAACCTTCTCAGAGGGAAAGCCATTTTTGGACATACTTTTATGGATCACATCCATACTTGGGGCATTAACCTACTTACCAGTAGTCCTCAACATACATTCATTCAATTACTGTTGACCGTGCTGAAAACCTGACTTCTGACCAGTCCTTGCACTTATGCTCATTTGCAGCATCCCCTGCAATGGCCATGTGATCAAAATTATGACACGTGACAGCCAACATGTATTTACAATGATTGCAGCACCCTGGGAGCATGATGGTCATTTGCAACATTCCCAGGGGAACTTCCAACAGGCAAAGCCAGTGGGGGCAGCTGGATTTGATTAACCAGAACAAAAAGGTAAATTGGGCACAACTCATTTAATGACTGCATTGCTTAGCAAAGCCCCAATCATGGTTGTAAATGTGAGGGCTACCTCTACACACACACACATTGTATAGACTTGCATTAAGTAATGAAGACCTTACAATGAGATACAGATACTCCACAATACCTGAACAGCCTTTCTAGTATTAGAAAAACCTTTGGTGTTTAATATTAGAAATGTTAAATCTTTACCACCCTCTTGTTTACTATGAGCCATGTGAGTAATATTCTCCCACACTAGCTTTATGCAATTGACAAAAAAAAAAATGTGATCCATAGAAATACTTCCGCTTTCAGGTACTGCAATATTCTTGCCATTTATATATAAAAAAATGCAAGTATAACTTGAGCTAAATTGCTTCCTATAAGTACATCATAAGCATGACCTGAAAGACTGAAGCATCTTTCAAGATTTACATAAATACTTACAAATAAGTTAAATGGGTTAGATATCTCTATGGTTAATCCACAAACTGGAGGTTAAGTTATGTAAAAGTTTACATAAAATAGAGCACAGAGATCACTGCATCATTATATTTGCCCACCTGTTCACATAAGATATGTGTCTCTACACCAGTATCAAGGAAAGTTTCTCTTGGCATCTACAGTATCAAGTACTAATTAATATAGACTGAAGGGCCACTAAGAGCCTAGCTGCAGAAAGTAGTTAAAAAGTTGGCAATATCTTAGTAGTCTCTTGGTCCCATATGCACTTAATTAATTTCAGTAATACTGACTTCTAGCTCTAAGTATTTGCAGTTTGAGGTACAAAGCTGCTTCATGGGGTTAATTTTGTTCAGCTGCCAAAGGCACAGCATGACTGTAGCTATCCCATTTCTTTGAGGAACAGCTGAAAGATAAAATGAAAGCCATGGTCCTGTGCTGAAAGAATCTATTCATTGTTTTATCTCTTCCACATCTTGAAAAGGTAGATGGCTGTGTATGCCTACAAATGCCACCTCTTTCAACACAAGGCCCACCTTAAAGAAGGAAGAAAGATAGGATACTTTTCTAAGCATATTTGTGGTTAGTGCTTTTGTGTGGTACTTAATAGAATCTGTCTGCTGGAAAAATAGTGCCTGCTGCCAAAATAAACTCTCCTGTCCTCTTGCAGCCTTTGCCTAGAACCACCCAATCTAGGCTGCAAAAATCTGGACAGCCATCAGATGGTAGTGAAGAAATACAAAACTCTTTTGCCATTTAGTGGATATCCAAACTCTTGCAGACTGCCTGTTGTAACCCTACATATGCCTCCAAATGTCCAAGAAATTAGATTATCCAGATCTAATTCAGGAGATGCAATGGGAGGAAAGAAGGAAGTAAGTTGCATGGGGAAATGGGATTCATTTAAGTGGCAGTAGATACTGGCTTTTAAACACAAATACACATAAATAGGAGATGAGTCTGAAAAAAAAAGTTAATTGCACAATTATCTTGAGTTGCTTACAGAATGTTTTATATATATATAGGATCCACATCCACCTACTTGCAGTTTTCTAATACAGATAAAATAATAGGTTCATGCATTGTAAGCTATTATTTACTAAACCACGATGTAGCTAGCTGGATATTCCAAACACACTAAAACACAAACTATGATGTATCAATAACAATGGGTTTGTACAACTAGCTAAAACCTCATTTTATCTGAGCGTAACAGATGAACCTCAAAATGGGTGGAAACATATATTTCACTGGTGGGAACATTTCTGAGTGGAGTTCTGCCATCTTTTATGAGATTTATGAGAAGCAGAGGGAATTGCAGGGAAAAGGAGAAATTGGGAATTGTAGCTCTTCTTTTCAGCCAGTGGAAAAGTTTCACTGAAGAAAAAACCCATTTCCTCCAGAGCAGGCTTTTGTTGGATTCACCTTAATGTATTTGCTTATGGTTAACTTAGTCACAGTTTTTTCAGATTCACATGACACACTGAACTATAAATGAATTCTGGGCATGCACAATATTGTAGTCTTAACCCAAATCAATCCAATTATCCTACTCAAAATACATCCACTGAAGTCCTTTAAGTCTGGATCCAGTCTAATATTTATTTAACAAACATGTTTTCACTTTGAATGTATCATAGGAGTTCACAGACCATAGAGCTATAATTGGCTGCATATTGTTCTTCATTTATAATCCCAATTATGTATTTGCCTGCTACACAAATGGGCAATACCCATATGATTATGTTCTTTTTTCAAGAAGTTTAGAGCTTTGGGATAAAGGAAGAAAAAAATCCCTGAAAATTGACTTCAGGGAGTAACAGTAATTTTATGACTGAGGTAATCCCTCTCTTGCTTAACTGGGTTAAGGACAGGGTTAGCATATCATATGAACTCAAAAATCAGGTTAGTATTGAAATTGCAGAAAACTAATTCAACTCATGTATGTTTGAATTAAACCAACCTCCCCCAGTCACCTGCCTTATCCAAGAGAGGTCAATCAAATGTTTTCTTTCAGCTATCAAATAGAGTAGAAAGTCTAGTATGCCTTATTAGGAGCTACACTTCTTTTACTTTTTATTTTCACTGCCCTGCATGGGTAGACAGGTAGGTGAAGAGGCAGAAACAGGATGGGAGGAAATGAGGGCTGTAACCCACATCTGCTATCACAGATGTTTTTTTGTTTGTTTTAAAACAGCTTTTTAAAAAGACAGCAAGTTAGCCTGAGCAAAGGAGGCTAATACAGAAGCCCAGATATTCTGAGGCAGGGTTGTCAAACTCACAATGTCACGTGACGTGTCATGACATATTGTGACTTTTTTGCCATTGCCGGCAATGGAGTGGGTGCGGTTTCGCTATGATGCATCCAGCCCACAGGCTGGCAGTTTGACACCCCTGTTCTGAGGTAACTTTAATCTTCTGAGATCAATTATTTGCTAAAGTACAACAGTAACACAGTTGGTTAACCATACTGTGTGAATCCAATTACTGTATTCTCCATGTATAAAAAAGCTATAACTTATGCATGAGAAAAGTCCCAGGAAAATAGCCAAGTTAGATGTGCCAAATGAAGCAAGTCTTAGAATATAGATATACAAGATATTTTATAAGATAAACCAGTTATCTTAGGGTATAAATGCTCATAGATTCTAGAGCCTACTTTGTCATATGAAAAGCAGAATACAAAAATGTAAAGATAAGTGACTTATCTCTCACATACATACACACACACATATAAATACATACATACACACATATAAATACAAACATACATACATACATACATACATATATTCTTTGGCAGAGAATTAGTTTGTTCATAACACTTTAATTTGTTGCCTGAATTTCATCAGTCTGCATTGTGTACAAGAATTTGTGATAAAATTTTCTATGATTCTTGGTAACTAGACACACATATGTATTGATTTTAGTGACATCAGTACCGAAGTGGTTTGCTACTGCTTTCTATCAACATTTTTTCAACTTTTTTGAAAGAAAGTTTTTTTCAATTTTCCAGTTTAGTCCACAGTCTTGGGATTTTTTAGTGGTCCATCCATCCATATATTCATGACATGAATGAACTCCAATCCTGCCTGTGTACATACAAACACATATACATACATGCATAATGGAACATATATACAGATAGTCCTTAACTTACAATCATAACTGAACGCAAAATGTCTGTTGCTAAGCAAAATAGTTAAGTCAGTTGCAATCCATTTTATGTTTTTGTCACTGTTGTTAAGTGAATACTGCAGTTGATAAGTGAATCGTGTGATCATTA